CCCCAAAACCCCAAAACCCCAAAACCCCAAAACCCCATGTGTTTCTTAATGAAATGCTTTCGTTGAAAGTAAATTTTAGGACAATAAATTATATTGCTTTTCAAGGAGTATAAATATCTATTAGTTCTAATTATTTCATATAATTTTCTTCTGATTGCCCTTGACGATTGAGCTACGCTAGACTTAATTGAACATCTGCTATAAACTAAGTCTATCCGCATCATTGTTTCCTTCGATACTTTTGTTTTGAACTTTACTGAAGCTACTTCTTCTCAAATCTTAATGACTCTAAATTTGGCCCCCTCCAGTTAGGGTTTGCTTGATAAATTAATCAAAGCTATGATCATTTGGAAGCCAAGTGGAATCATCATTGAGGGCATCGTTATTTGTGTGATGATTATCAGTAGAGACAATCTAGCTGATTCTCTTCTTTGATTGCTATCTTCTATTATCTGTCGTTGCAAATATATACTGTTAACCTGCTCTTGATCCTTTTGGCACAATTTTCGTTTCAGCTTTATTGTTCTTGGGCTATCTAGTATTAGAATTACTTTTTTTTGGTGGTGAGTGTGATCCACCCTATTTTCTTTTCTTGAGTTGAGGACTGTGATTATCAAAGAATCTAAAGTGCTCTTTCATTTTATGTTTTAAGTTCTCCAGTTCTTTTGAAAGCTTTGATCTATCTCCTATAATAGCATTTGACACACCGTTTACCACACTCTTTCTGCTGATTTTCTTTGAGCTTGGCATTTTCATCTACATTGAATCAGAATGATGCTATTGCTGAGTAATGATATTTTCCTTATTATTTTGCTTATTATTTATGAAATGATTTACCATATCTTTCTTTTAAGAAATCTTGAGAATTTAGGGTTATGGTATTCTAAGTCTAGCTCCATGCGTGAAAGACTAATCAACTGACTGCTAGTGACTAATCTTTATAGAAGAGTTATGATTTTTAGCTGCTATTTTGCCCATTTTTGTGCTCTTACTTCTAGTTTAAGATCCACTCTTTTTTATTTTCTATTAATCTTAGATATTTTAGTTGTTCATGGCTTAAAATGATGATAGCTGATTGAGGATATCGTTTTGCCTTAGATTGCTAAATGATTACCTCTTTTTCGTTTATCTCATTCCACTATCTACATTATTCTTCTTAAGCATTAAAAGTAACTTTTAATTCTCCAAAACTCTTTTTTGCAAGTTACTTAGCGACTAATTTCTTTCTTATACATCTGTGTTTTTCTAGCTTGTCGGAATAGCAATATCAAAGGAATAATTGTGAGCAATATTATCAGATGGCTGAGTAAGAAGAGGAACTTAACTTGAATTTTTAATTGCTGATAGATCATCATCTGCAGATCTATCTCTATTTTTGGTAATTCTTTTTCTCGCCTCTGATGCCTGAAATCTTTCATTGCTTGATGACCTAGATTTCTTTCCCTTCGTCTACGATTTCTAATTCCTATCTTTGCTCTTGTTTGTATTGAAATTCTACTAAGATTTAGCTGCTTCTCTTGTGTTCCCTACTATTGAAGTTCTGACATTACTTGCGGTTTTGCTTTAAGATCGATCCTTTCTAGTTTGAGATAATTTTTATTTTGGCTTTTTCGTTTATTTCTTTTGCTATTTGTCTTTATCCACCTTTGATATGGATTTAGCTTGCAAGCTCTTTTCTGGCTATTACTGACTTAAAAAATTATTGATCATTGGATGGGAAAATAAATTTTCACTTGATTGACTTCTATCTGACGGTGAGAAATTTTATAGCTGCTTAGAGTATCTGCCATTTGAATTTTTCGTTTGCTAGTTTTTATTTAAAGTATTTAGCTTTTTGATGTTATTTCTTTTACCCTTTCTTACTTAAGATGTAGTTGTCTAGTTAGTAAAAGATGATGAAGGTCTACTGAACGATTTAGATTTTTCTTTAGAGTTATGATTTGACGACAAATTCAGATGAGTAAAGCCATTTGACAGTCGTTCCATCTACTTATTCGGGTCAAATTCATCTCCCTCCTCAACCTTTTCCTTTTCAATCTTGTCAGAGTCATCCATATCAACTATTTAATAAAAAGCTTCATCGGTGATATCCTCCTCATCATCGTCATCTTCAATTTCATAATCCAAGTCAATGTCTCTTTCCAAAGACTTTTCAATTTCTCTTAAAAGTGAATCTCCTTCCAGATAGCTCATCATTTTTTGAATTCTTGGGTCTTTACGCTTCTTAATTTTCTTGCTTTCTTTTAAATTCTAGTTTCCATGAAGATTCGATTAAACTGATTTTCTCTACTTTTAATGTTCATTCCATATTTGATGAAGAGAAGATTCATCAGGGTTTTCTAATAATTTCTGGCTCTGCAAAGTATGAATGACGTCAAAAGACTTGCTGATATCCTCGTCCTCTCCATCATCGAAATTCACTTGATCGTTATCGTTAACATGGAGTTGCTTTCTAATGAAAGAATAGTCATCTGACTATATCTTTGATAGTAGTTTAGACACCAATTATTTCTTGTCCAGCTAGGGATCTTCTATTATTTTCTAAACCATCATATCATAATACTCCTCTGAATAGAGGTTTATTTGAAGCTTTTACATACTATTCAGAATTTTCTATGACTCTTTTTCTTGACTATTTTCCTCTTTTATGATACTCTCTTCTTTAACTGATGGACTTTCAGCCATTTTAGATTCACTAATAGCTGCAGCATTGATAATACCTTAAATATCAAGATTATCTTCTTGCTTCTATTCTTGTTAATTTTTTACTTAATGTGGTTGACTCTTTTTGTCAGTAGTAAGGTTTGGCTAGTTTTTGAATATTCTTCTAGTTAGAGGACTCATTTGACAAGGACTGATTGCTACCTTTATGTTTTGAATTTATCTTATAATTGGCTAATATTTATTTGATTCTATACCTTTTAGAGGTCTAAGAATATCTAGGATATCATTTTGTTCTTAATCCTCTTTAATTGGCTGCTAAGACGGATCATGATGCTTTTAATAGCTTAGTAGTATATGATTCAGCAGTGGGCATTCACTCGGAAGAAATGTACATGCTATTTCAAGAGCCTTAGCATGCCAATACTCAGATTCTAGTTCCTTCTTCTTTTTTATAGGTGATGTTAGAAATTCTACTCTAGATTGAAGAATGAACCTCATCTCAGTAGAAACACAAAAGTAAGAAACAGATAGCAGTGAAAGTTTTTCAAGAAATGAATCTCTTGATAGTTCGGTCTCATTTCTATTATTAGACAGCAAATCTTTCATACATAGTGGCTAGATTTACATAATGTTGCCTATATTGAGATTGTAAATCCACTCATTTTGGTTGAGGAATCCAAGAACACTTCTCATATCAGCATCCTCAGGCAATAATATCTTTTCATATTCAATCTCTGAGGCTAGCTTTTCGTTGTTTTAGTTAATATGTGGAGATTCTTCAATCATTCTGGTAATTACTTCCTTGACTATTGGATATAGCTTCATTGACGTTCTCTCCAGCATTGAGATAGACTCCTCGAGGAAGTTGCCTGTATTATGTATTTATTGTCCAGCTCCTTAAAATTAAGAAGGGGATGTTGATAGAATAGATATCTACTATCTTTCAGTATGTTCTCCCATATTACTTATATTATGAATGTTTTTCTTCATTTTAGCATCTCTGCTCTCAATTTTTCTAATAAAAGCAGCACAAAGTATCAGTAGATCTTTGAATAGCTAGTGCACTAACTTAACACTTTTTTTAGAGTTATCAAGAGCTTCAGTATGATTTTATGTCTAGGATAATATAGCACAGAGTTGTAACTTCAATTTACATTCTTATTTTATTTGTCTCATTCTTGATGCAACAGTGTTCTCTTTGTAAAATGATGGAACACTTATCAATTTTAAACATTTCTTGAGGTAAAAGTAGCACTCATCTAGCATACCAAGCCTAATTATTTATGAAGAGTTAGAAATTTTACTTTTGATAGCAGAGAGCTAAATTATGAAAAGTACAAAATACGATATACCTATCTCTTTTGCTCTGTTCCAAGGAAACAACCTACAATAGATAAAACTTTTACAATTTTACATCTAGCACGCTTTCTGTTTTCTGTAAAAGGATTATTGCTTTCTCATAGCTTTCTCTTTAAATATAATTGTAGGCTGCATCAAGTAATTCATATAAAACTATGGGGATTTCTTCCTAGTTTACTTTTATTTCCTTATTATAATGTTTATTGAAAGAATCTGATTCTTATGAAATTTCTTTATTGCTATTTCGTGATTTCTTAGTCTCTTTTTCTACTCCAATGGGGGCACTATACTTTCATTAATCATCAATGTTTAAACCAAGTATACGAAGATATTTAAGCTGATTTAATTTAAATTTTACCCATCAAGATTATTGAGAGATGCGTGACTTTAAGATTGAAATGACATTTATATATGAAATGTGTTTATCTTATTTTAAATACAATTATTCATTTTTGAAAGTAACGAATACTTTCATTACCGGGGTTTTGGGGTTTTGGGGTTTTGGGGTTTTGGGG